ATGAGAAGCATGTTGAAAAATAAAACACAGTATGCAAATGTGAGGGATTAACAAATCTTGGAGTTGATTTCCTCCTGAGTGGGCTGGCCTTCCGTGAAACAAGACAACATATGTAAAGCACCTGGCTCACATCTGGCACACAGTAGGCGGACAAGCTCTAAGAGCTGTCCCAGGCTTATGCCTTTGATCTTGCCTTCCCTCTCATCTGGAAGGTCCAAGGTCCCCGCCACCCACCTTTATGTTCCCTTTTCCGCTCTTGCCTATTTCTCAACCAACGTCCAGTCACTCCTCAGAGTTCAGGGAGTCAGAAGTCTTCCTACTTCTTTTCCTTCACAGCTTTCTTTTCCTATCAGATGTGAGCTGTTGGTTTGTTTTCATGGTCACATCTGTCTTGCTGCTGCTAAAATGCCACACTATTTGACAGCAGAAATGACTTTATTGTCTTGTTCACTTAGGATGAGGCCAGGCACGTAGTAGTAGCTTGATAAATATTTGTTAAAATGAGGGATGGATGCTACCCAGATTTATTGATGTTTTTCCTCTCTTCTACATCCCTTCTTGGAAACTCGTGATTTTATGGGAAAGTGACTAGTCACAGAGTTAGTTACCAGGCCAGATCCCAGGAGGCCTGGCTTCATAACTCATTGGTCAGTCTCCTGGAACAAGTCACCTAACGTCTCTGCTGTTTATTTCCTGGTCTGTAAAGTAGAGATAATAACACATCGTGTATGTTGGGAGGCTCCACGAGATAATGAATGTGAAAGTCAAGGCAAGGGGTTATTACATGTCTCTTTTGTTTTTCACACAGAACCTGGTCACAGACAGGAGACTTGGGGAGGATGTTAATTTAAGAACCTCAGGCTGAGTCTCCCCTTTACTCTCATTTGGGGGTTCTGAGATGATGATGGTCATGATGATGATGATGGTGGTGACGATGGCTATTATTTACTGAGCAATTATTCTCTGGCAGGCTCTAGGCTAAGCACATTTCCTACATTAATGTACATAATTCTCCTAACAACCTATGAAATTAAGCCCTGCTCTAAAGTAGCCAGTCCTGGTGACTCCATCACATGACTGTGTTCTAATCTTCTTCACAGCACTTATCACTGACTAAAATTAACTTATTTACCTACTTGTTATGGTCTGTCTTCCCCAATTAGACTGTAAGTTCCGTGGGAGCAGAGCTTTATCTGTCTTGTTCTTGGCTGATTCCCCAGTGCCCGACTGGCACACAGAAGAGACTCAATAGACTCATTTAACAGATGAAAAAATAGGCTCCGAGGAGCTAAGTGCCTTAGGCAAGAACACACAGTTACTTGGGTCTGTCAGGCTATGGCTCTGGTGCTACTTCCTGTCATGGCGCCATAGGTTCTTCTGTGCTGTGCCCTGGTGGAGAGCTGATGTCGAGAAGGTCGCCCAGGGCCAGGTGTTCTCCCGTCTCCTCCACCCCTTTCCCCTTTACCTTCTGATGGCTGAGCATGTCCGCCTTGGACAGGGACACCAACAGAGAGTTTGTGGAGGCCCCGGCGAAGATGCCCACACAGGATGGGAGTCACCCAGTTCCCCCTCTTTGTTCTGGCTGTGTCACTCATGAGTGAAGGGCTCACTCCTTCTTGGAACCCTTTTCATATCTCTTACCCACTGGGCCGTCACCCTCAACTCCAACCTTTAAGAGAACGGAGAGTCAAAAGTTCTTGGATTTCAGGATTTGGCACCTAAGTCAATGGTAACTTTAACCATAGTCAAGATTTTCTAAAAGCCAATGCTTAGTCTTGGAATATAAAGTTGGCTGGCAGCGTGAGCAGGCATTGGGACCAGGACACTACAGCTCCCGGTTCCTGGCCAGAAACTCTTCCAGTCACCTTGGCTTCTCATTCAGTCGCTCCTGCCTTGTGTGGGTGGGAAACCCCCTTTTATCTTGCAGCAGAGGGTTGGTTCGATGTATTCCAGAGCACAGGAATTTCCAGATTAGGAAAGACATCTAGAGAGGAGAGACTAGTGTGGGGCTGAGGGCTGCATCTTGAAGTCCAGCAGGGCCCGGTTCAAGTTAGCCTCTACCACTTACCAGCTGAATGGCCTATTACCTGTTTGGTAATATTACCTATTCGGGTCTCTATTTTCCTGATACTAATATTTCAGGGCTATTGTGCAGAGTAGACGAGATGACACAGAAAAACAGTTGGCATACTAGCTGCTTACGGTAAATGCTTAAGACATGGCAGCTGCCGTGTAGCAAGGAATCAGACTTTGGGATCCCAACAGAGTGAACTGGGGACCCCTGAAGCCCAGAAAAGTGTTCCAGGTGAACGAAAAACTGTCTGTTCTTTTGTTTTTGATGTGACTTTTTCAATGTCTCTTGAAATTTAATTTTTAAATAGAGCAAGATAACTGATAGCTCGTCGAAGCTGATAATGGTCATTCCACCAGAGTCAGCAAAATGGGGCTCTAGGCACAGACCTGCCACTGACTTGCAAGGTGACCATGTCTTGTACTACTTTGTAACCCCTCGATGTCTAGCTCCAAGCCAGGCCTGGAGCATAAGGATGGTTCACATGTATTAAGCACTTGTTACGTGCCAGGGACAATTCTAAGCATTTTTCATGTAGTGATGCAGTCAGTCCTTAGAATCCTACCTGGTGGGTGCTTTTATTAGACTCATTTTGCCAATGAGGAGCACTGATAAGCACTGGGAGTCCCAGCTGACTGAGCTGGTGGGGTCTACCAGGCTTCTCCCAGTTTCTCTCATGCCCCCTTAGTTTGGGAGTGCCCTTTCGCCTGGGGCTGGGAGGGGTGAGGACAGCCACCCTGGGTTTGCTCCGTAAGTTCCTCTAACCTCAGGCCCAGGAGGCACCTAGGAGGGGCCTCTTCTCATCTCTCCATCTTGAGGCCCTTGATTTATTACAGCAGAAACTCGGGGTGTGCCTCCCTCCCCTCTCCATGCCCCTGGAGCAGGAAGGTTTCTGTCATTTCTCTTTTCTGTGTGACAGTTCCCTCTCCCTCCCTGCCTCTCAGAGCCCAGTGCCCTGAACTCTGGGGCCCAGTGGGATGGGAGACACTATGCCCTGGATGAAGCCCCTGGGAGAGCTGCTGCCCCTGGCCGCCTGGGTGTGTCCCGGCTGCTGTCCCCGCCTGTGTCTGAGAAGGTAGGCCTGAGCTGCGGGGCAGCAGGAAGGCACTTCCTGTGACACGATTTGCCCACTGCACAGTCTGCCACAGCGCCCGAAGTTCTACCGCTAGCGCGGTTTCCTGCTGTGGTGAGCGTTGCCCTCCTGCATCACAGTAAAGCGGCGTGGCCTTGTGGGAAGTGTGCGGCTTTGGTACTAGACAAGCCTGGGATTAAATCCGGGATGTGTCGTGGACTAGCTGGGTCACCTTGAGCATTTTCTTATCCTCTCCAAGTCTCAGGTTTCTTCACCTATAAAATGAAGCAGGTATCCTTACCTTGTAGTGTTCTTGTAAGGAGCAGAGGTAATGAATGGAGAGCATTCATACATATTCAGTAAATGGCGGCCAGCATTGTTCTCACGTTCCTAACTTGAGTGAGTCAGTCAGGTGCACCTAGAAAAGAGGGCATCTGGGTACCAAGTGCCCACTTCATCTCTAGGGCTCTTTTCCCAGCTTGACCATCCCCATCTTCTCACTTATCACCATCCTTCATATACTCTTTGCTCTAAAATTAACACAACCAGAACTTGCCCACCTCTGTGCCTGTGCTCACAAATAAGTATGTTCTAGACAAGTGATTCTCAAAGTGTGGTCCCCAAGTTACCAGCATCAGCATCACCAGGGAACTTGTTAGAAATGCAAATCCTCAGCCACCCCAAACCTAGTGAATCAGAAACTCTAAGTGTGGCACCCAGAGATCTGTGTTTTAACAAGCCTTCCAGGTCATTCTGCTGCAGCTTAAAGCTTGAGAACGCTATTCTGTATCGCAGCGTCATCCTGCTGGAGCTTGAATCCCCTCTGGGCCAGGAGCTTGGGCTACTGCCTTAACTTCTCTGAGCTTCAGATTCCTCACCTATGAAATAGGAATAATTGTAGTATCTGCCTTATAAGGTTGTTATGAGGATTAAATGAGACAATCCATGAAAAGTGATTAGCTCGGTGTATAAAACATGGTTAGTGCTCAAAAAGATTAGGTATTATTTTTATCATCATCATTATACTGTATTATGCCCCTATCCCTGTCCACCACCCCCCACACATTTCTGAGTGATATAATCCTCAAGGCTGAGTGTCCCCAACTAAAATGGATGCCTCCTCCAAAAAGCTTTTCCTGGTCTCTTCCCTTTGAGCCCATGTGGCTTGACTTGGGCCACTTGCCTTGCGTTTGTCCAAGTTCTCAGCACAGTGCCCAATTCCTGCTTGCCTTTGTAGCATTCCACTCCAGTTTCTGGCGTCTGAGCAGCTGCTCAGGTGCTCCGTGATTCATGTTGGTCTGAAATGCTGTTTCCCAGGACCAGATTCCGCCTAGGGGGTTCCCCACCCTGCTTTCTCTCTTGGCAGACTCTATCCCTCTGTCCCTGACTCAAAATGATCTCCAGCTTTCTGTGTCTTTCACGGTCTTGAGGAGAACTTCAGAAGAACTCCTGCTGGGTTGTCTGGAGATTTTATTCTTCGTATTTGTCATTGTTATTTCCCATCCTTGTTCCAGTAATTCCCCTTGAATATGTCTCTACTATGGAAGGATTTTACTGAACTCAATCTCTCTGAAGCCTTGCAAGGCTGAAATTGCGCTTCTCATGTTGTGAATGAGGGAACTGAGGCCCCAGTTCTATAGCTTCTCCATGGCTACTTTCGGTATTGACCCGAAGCATCTAGTTCCAGAGTGTGGGTGCATTCTCCTGCTCCCAAGCTGCTGCTCAAGGTGGTAGAAGAAGCAGTTTCAAGTTTTCAAGGCTGGTTACTCTGAATTCCTGGGCATTGGCCTGGGGCTGGCCATTCATGGACCTTTCCCTGGGACAGCCTAACATTGACCCTCCTCGCTTGCCTTCCAGTTTCAGGTCTGTGAGGCTACTCAAGAATGACTCAGTCAACTTCCAGAAGTTCCCCTATACCAATGAGGATGAGGCCTGGAAGACCTACCTGGAAAACCCGTTGACAGCTGCCACGAAGGCCATGATGAGAGTCAATGGGGATGATGACAGCGTCGCAGCTCTGAGCTTCCTCTATGATTACTACATGGTACGTTCGCCACCTCCGGGTGGGACCCACTCTGACCGAATGTGTGCCTTGCCTTCGCTTTCACGTCTCATGGCTCAGCAGCCCATCATAACCACTTCCAGCCCACCATGTTCATTCTCATCGCTGGGCCTTTGCACGTGCTGTTACCCCTGCCTGGCACTCTCTCCTTCCCCCTGGCTAAACCCTACTCTCAGCTTTGGGCTTCAGCATCAAGGTCACCCTCATTCATTCACTGAGATGGGGGTAGGCTTTCTTGGGTCTCCCATTCTGTGGCTCCTCGGGGTACCCTCAGTAACTGCCATCATCATCATCAACTCTGTCTTTAGAAACTCGCTATTTGTGCATTTATTTCTTCATCTCCCCCATGAGACTGAGCTCCTGGAGGGTAGAAACCATGTCACGATCATTACTGAATCCCCAGCATCCATGCTGCCTGCCACACAGTGCTTATTACATATTGATTGAATGGATCAATGTCTCGGCCACACTCAGTCCATCTCAGCAACACCCACATCTTCTTCCCGGCCCTGGCCTTTAGATCCTTCCGGTTGCCCTATCAGCCCCATCCACCTTTACGAACGCCCTCACCTAGAACGTGCCTTCTGCTCTTGAACCCATTGCCTTCCTCCAGGACCCTTCCCAAGACCCACCTTCTCTTGGAAGCCATCCTGCCACATCACATCTTTCTCTCCTGTCTTCCCATCCTTCATACCCTTGCTGCCATTATATGCATCGTAACACCTTCTGACAGACTATCTTTTCTTATTCTCTAATCGTTTCCAGGGCCTCGGCCCCCACATAACTGACTCCGGGAGATTGTCAGTTACTGAGAACAGGAACTAGGCCTTCCCATATCTGATAAGTGGGCTTGAACCAGTCAGAAATCACAGATACATAACACGTATGACAACACCGCGCCCCCCCGCCCCTTGCCCTGCCACACACACACACATCAGTGCCTATTCCAGAGTTGCTAGAGGATTACGGCCTGCATAGCCAGCATTCTCACTGAGACTACATGAGGCCACAGAAATCTTTTTCAGCCCATACTCTAGGTAGCCCCTAACCATTTGTCTGAATTGTCACGTGACAACAAACTTTCTTGCTATCCCTGGACTGGACAATTACTCCAAGAGACTTTCCTAGATTTGAGGATGGGGGACATGAATAGCTAAATGTTGAGATAAATGGCTCTGAACTTGAAGATTTAAAGCCACCTTATGAATAAGTCCTCAAATTCGCTGGCCCAAGAAGAATTTTGTCAACCCTCCTATAAGAAAGAAAGCAAACTGAGTACATTTAGAGACTAAGGCGAGTAAGTGGTCCCAGATATGAGAAGGCCCCAAATTATCTCTTTGGCTTCAGTTCTCATCCTGGAGTAGAGCGGTTGGTTACCCTACCTAACCTCCTCTCCAGCAGACCAGTAGCATCCTGATAGCATTGGGCTCAGGCTGATGGAAAAGAAATTTGAATTGGCTGCCTCAGCTTGGGGACGTGGTAGGAGCCTGAATTCTAGGTCTGGGTTTAAATACCAGCCTGGGATTTACAGCTTAAAGTTGGGCCATAAAATAAAATCCAGCACCATCTTTCATGGTTAAGAAGCCATTCCCAGGGCCAGAATGGTGGGGCTAGGCTCTGAAGGTGACACCTGTAGTGAAATACAGTGTCCCAATGAGATACAGCCCCTTCCCACTCCGGCACACTCTGGATTCAGAGCTGCCCCATGGATAGTAAGGACACGGTCTAACGGTGTGGAAAGGGCACCAAGGTGGGAGCTTGAGACCTAGAACTGCGGCCAACTGGCAATGTGGCTTTAGGCAATGTAGTCCTGAAGGTGACCACTTACTGTTTCTTACTGTGTCAGATGCCTAACTTCCTACTCTCCCATTGGGTGCTAGAGTCACTAGACTGGGTTGGAGATCAGGTTCTGGCTTTATTAGCCTTAGGGAGAAATGACCTGGATGCTCTAAGATGCAACAATATTATAATTCTAATCACAAAAGGTAACATTATGTAGTACTCCCCCTTGCTAGATGCTAGTCTAAGCGTTCACGTCAGTCCCTGAGGTTGGTGTTACTATTATTATCCATTTTACAGATGAGGACAATGAGTTATAAAGAGGTTAAGGGACTTGCCCAAGGTCACGCAGCCAGTACGTGGCAAATCTAGGAATCGAACCCAAGAAATCCGGATTCAGTGTCCATGTAGCTGTTGTATTCCCCCATTTGAAATACAGAGTAACTGAGTCTCAGAAAGGGGCAGTCATTTATCCAAAGTCACAAAGCGCTTTTAAGTGGTAAAGCTAGGACTTAAACCGAACCTGCCTGACTCCACATTCCGTAATTCCTAACTGCTAATCTTGGGATACTTCTCCCACTTGCTAACCTGGGGCTCGGACTACATGATCGCTAGAGCGCCTGGCAACTTGAAGTACTGGCGATTTTCTCCCAGTGTCCAAGCTTGCTCCCCTGCCTGGCCAAGTCTGCAGGAGGGGGTCGAGGTCCCTAACAGCCAGATCTTACGGAAGAGCCATGTGTAAACCCGTTTTTCCTCTCCTCTCAGGGCCCCAAGGAGAAGCGGATACTGTCCTCCAGCACCGGGGGCCGGAACGACCAAGGAAAGAGGTGAGGCTTGCCCACGCCACCATCGCTGCCCCTCTGCCCTTCCCCACCTCCGCCTCCAGCTCCAGTCTCTTAGCCACTGGGCACAGAAGGCACAGTGCCTATGGCCCACAGTATTTTTAGGGGCCCACAACACTTCAAAGCCACAGTGGTTGAGAAGCTCCAAAGGCAGCTGTTCCCCAAACTCCCCTCCCTGCAGCCTCCTGGGTCAGCAGACCTGGGCTCCCATACTTCCTTCCCTTGGCTCTCTGGGCCTCTGCCTGCCAGTGCTGCCTCCAGGCAGTGAAGTTCCTTTCCTTGTAAAAAGCAGCCCCGGCGATGCTCATGGCTAATTGGCCACAGGAAGGACCCTGCCCTCGACCTCCACATTCTCCTTTCCCATCTCTGCCACCGCGTAGGGCCTCTGCTGGGACACCTGGGCTCCTCTCTGCCTTCCTGAAAATCCAGTCGGCTAAGGCAGGCTTTGCGGCCCTTGTGGCTGGCTCAGGGACCATCCGCTGCTAGGACCAATGGGTGTGGTGAATGGGGACTGCTCTCCAAATGAACTTTTAAACATCTTGTTAGCTTTTCTGATTATGAAAGTAATCCCTGCTCTTTGTAAAATATTCAGACTCTATAGAAACGTGAAAAGTCCTATAATTTTATTCCTCTGCCTGCCTTAAAGGTTGGAGTATATCCTTCCAGGCCTTTTTCTCAACATACATTAACTGTACTCACAGATACACTAGTGCACACACACCCGAGAGATGACGCAATGCAGTTGTTTTAAAGTGGGGGCATTTGACACCAGCTGAGAAATAAATGAACTTTCAGTTTTTAAAATGACCAAGCACTGTAATGGATAAAGCAACCCTGAGCCTGTGCTTGGTTTCATTTTTGACACCCTCCTCCCTGCTCATCCCTGTGACAAATCGGTCTGCTCTAGTATCTTGCTTCATGTGGGGGCCTAATTATGACATTGGATTAAAGGTTAGTGTGCCAGTGTGAGGATCACCCTCCAATCCAGCTGAGGCCCCTTCCCCTCGGAGAGAAGAGGAGCACTCACTTTGCCCTCCTCTCTCTCTCCCCAGGTACTACCATGGCATGGAATATGACATGGACCTCACCCCCCTTGAAAGTCCCACACACCTCATGAAATTCCTGACGGAGAACGTGTCTGGAACCCCAGAGTACCCAGATGTGCTCAAGAAGAGTAACCTGATGAGCTTGGAGGCGACCGTGCCCTCCCCGGGCAAGACAGCACCCCTCCCCGCAGGCCCCAGCAAGCTGGAAGCTGGTTCTGTGGACAGCTACCTGCTGCCCACCAGCGACGTGTATGATAACAGCTCCCTCAACTCCTTGTTTGAGAGCATTCATGGGGTGCCACCCACACAGCGTTGGCAGCCAGACAGCACCTTCAAAGACGACCCGCAGGAGGTGAGGGCCCATCCCACACCCCTCACAGCATCCCCGGATATGCGCATGTACGTTCAGAAGGAGAAAAGACAGTGCGTCAGAGCTTTGAGGTCCGTAGAGGAGAATCCTAGAGCTGAGGCAGAGATGCCATGTACTGTTGTCCAGGTTCAACCTGCACAGTTGTCTGCAGCAACCCTAGGCTGAGGCCCCAGCAGCCTGCGCATGGTCATTTATTCTTTGTATTGTGTTTCTCTACAGTCACTGCTCTTCCCAGATATCCTGAAAACATCCCCGGAACCTCCATGTCCAGAGGACTATCCCAGCCCCAAGAGGTAACTCAGCCCCTGCGAACCCTTGGCTACCTGGGCAGTGGGCAGGGGGCTACAGACAGAGCCTCATACTGTCCCCAGAGCAGGCGCAACCAACAAAAGAGGAAAATGAAGATATAGAAAAGGAAAGACATGAAGAGAATGATTTTCACATCCCTTTTCTGGTCTGTGCTGGGGAGCTCAGATCTCAGCCCCCTGTTAGAAATCCAAGGTCCTGTTGCCCCTAGTCTCCCGCTATGGCGTTGTCATCCCTCAGAGGTCTCTCTGATTTCCATTATTTATTATACAGCAGGATTGTAGCTCAACAAAGCCATGAAACAGAACTCCGAGAGTGTGGAAGCCGAGGGCCAGGGGAGCAGAGTGGATTTCCGAGGTCGCACCGCGCGTCCGCAGCGGAGCCTCAGGCCTCCTGTCCCACTGCCTTCTGGGACACTTTCGCCTGGGTGTCCAGCCTCACTGTTCTCTCCCTCCTCCCCGCAGCGACTTCGAGTACACCCTGGGCTCCCCCAAAGCCATTCACATCAAGTCGGGCGAGTCGCCCATGGCCTACCTCAACAAGGGCCAGTTCTACCCCGTCACCCTGCGGACCCCAGCAGGCGGCAAAGGCCTTGCCTTGTCCTCCAACAAAGTCAAGGTGCGTGGGGGGCCCTGGAGTGGCTTGGGAAGAGGGTAGGATGGTTGGGCCAGCCCTGCCTGCCAGGGACCCAGGGAGAGGCTTCTGATGGATAACTGCCCATAGCCATGGAGTGGGGGAAACTGAGGCAAAATAAAAAAGGTAGGGGCTACTGGACCCAGGCCTAAGGAAAGGACCCAGATAGCGGGGGGCCTTTCCCAAGGCTGGGGATACAGCGACCTCTGTGCTTGCAGAGCGTGGTGATGGTCGTCTTTGACAACGAGAAGGTCCCAGCAGAGCAGCTGCGGTTCTGGAAGCACTGGCACTCCCGGCAACCCACCGCCAAGCAGCGGGTCATCGACGTGGGTGAGAGCCCGCCCGGCCCGTCCCAGCCTCTCCCTCTCCCTCCGCTCCCCACCCTCTCTCTCTGCCCTTCCCCCCGCCACACACACACCCCAGTCAGGCCTTTCTTGCTGTGGCCCTTTTTCCCCAGCCCCCTGGGACCTCTGCAGAACAAAGTCTTAGTTTTGACCCCCGCTGCCTGCCTAGCCACTGTCTCCAGGTCAAACAGTGTGGGGTGTGCAGGGATTTGCAACTGTTGTCTGGAAACTGTGGCGACTTTTCTGTGTTGCTTTGGGGTAAACAGGGCCTTGGGGATCCCAGCTGTGGGATAAATAGGCCCCTGGGATACTGCCCTGCTTGTCCCCATCAGGGGGCTTAGCAGATTGAGACACAAATGCATCAGATAACAGTGATGGCTGGTGGCGATTTGGAAGGCTTGAGGCACAGCAATGGCCAGTTCTGCTTTGGGAGCTGGCACCCATGGGCTCTGTTAGCTAGGGGTCAGGGGGAAGCCCCTCTGTATGTGCCACCTTGTCCCTGTCCCAGGCCCTGAGATGGGAAGGAGGCACAGATCATACTCTGGTCTCCAGTTTCTGGCTCCTTCACTTGCTTCCTGGTCTGTGAACCCTTCTGAGCCTCAGTTTCTCCAACTGTCAAATGAAACGAGGCCAGCTGCCCTGTCTGCCTACGGTGCCATTTCTGCCTTGGAGCGATGTGCACTGGAGAGCATGATACAAATAGGGACGATTCAGTGACTTATCTGAGAGGCCAAAAAGCAGTGTTTAGAAGCCTGGGTTCAAGAGCCAGACAAAGCTAAGCCCCACTCCTTGCTCTGCCTTTTATTAGCTGTGTGACCCTGGGTAAGTGACCAAACTTCTCTGAGCTTTATTTTCCTTATGTGTAAGCTGAATATTCATAGCATCGTTTGTGAGGATTAGCTAGAGGCTTGCCTTATTGTACTGTTCTTAACGGTGGTAGAACTACCATTTGCTCAGTATTAGTAGTTCAATGTTAGTTCAATAGTTCGGTATTAGTAGTACTGGTACCACTATTTTTATTACTGCTATTACTACTGCTATTACTGCTATTACTACCACTACTACTATTGCTTTATCTGGGAGATCTCCTAAGCCACAATCCCAATGAAAAGTATAATCTCCACCCCAAAACGAGGAAGGCCCCGGCCTCGTTGGCAAAGTTAGAGATTCCGTCTGGGGTTTGGGCAAATCTGCTTTCTAGGCTGGGCCTCAGTTTCCCCACCTATAACCCAGGCACCATAACCAGTTTCCTCCCCGGATTAAAGCGTAGTCCTTGGGGAGAGTATGCAAATCCCTGCCAAGAATGGGGCCCAGCTCCGATAAGCCTCCTCCCAGCAGTGTCCCCAGATCCCTTCCCTCCTGACTCTCCCGATCTCCTGTGGTTTCAGCTGACTGCAAAGAGAACTTCAATACTGTGCAACACATTGAGGAGGTGGCCTATAATGCACTGTCCTTCATGTGGAATGTCAACGAGGAGGCCAAGGTCAGTGCTGGGGCCACGGCCATCCTGGGGCAAGGGCTGGCCTGCACCTAGGATCCTGTCGGCTACTCCAATGAAGGCACCAGTGGGGGAGGCATAACAGAGAGTGGGGGGGCAGCACAGGCTCTGAAGCCTGAAAGGCTGGGCCCACATCCCAGCTCTGTGACTTTGGACCAGTGCCTTGGCTGTATAGCTGGGGTGTAATCATAGCACCAACTGTTAGGATGAAGTGAAGATCAGGTGGGATAAGTGAAAAGGTAGCACACAGCCTGGCATGAAAGTGGTGGCTGTTGTTATTAATCCAATCCACCCCCTTACCAGATAGAAAAACTGAGCCTTCTGCACGGTCACACAGCAAACCGCTGATGACGCCAGGTTTCCTGACTTGCAGGCCTGAGCCAAGTGTTGCAGGAGAAATGCTTTGGAATCTGGTAGATGAGGGCTGAAATCCCAGTTACCTTGCTTTTGGAGCCCTTAGGAAGGGAACAGTAATCTGTCCCCGAGGGTTGTGGTGAAGATCCCACGAGATCATGCATGCCTGAGGCTGGCACAGTGCCAGACCCATCCGGGAGGCCTGATAAATGGAGCCTCTAATTTTTTTCACACAGGCAATTAAGCCACTTAGTGCTCAAGACCAACTTCGAACTTGCCGTGTGCTTCTGTGTCTCTCCGTGGCTTGGTTTTCTGCTTGGAGAGCTGGCATCGTGGCAAGGGCACTAGTCTGAGAGCTGGGGGCTGGGTGACCTTGGGCCTGTCTCTTCCTCTCCCTGGGCCAGGCTCACCCTGTCAGACAGTGTTGGGTCCCACTCAAGTCTGGCGGGACAGGCTGGGGAGCTAATCCCTGTCTCGGGGCCTGCCTCATGGGGCCTGTCCAGGGGGACTAGAGAAAATGGAGGTGAGGGGCTCTGAAAACACAAAGGGAGGGATTATTATTATTCAAACAGATGCCAGGGGCTAGAGGAGGAGCTGGGGCCTCCGGTGCAGGAAGGT